CTAACCAAAACAAAAAATCTCACTTCCGAATCCGCCAAACACTACACACTACAACACACCTTATCCTGATGTTTGCCATATTACAGCATCGACTCACTTACAACTAGCGTGTTGAGTTGCCTCAACGAATAAAATTTTAGAAATTAGAATGCTGTTAAAGGCAAATGGTACCCGTTTCTGTTGCCACCCTGGAAGAAAAAAGACATACGGCTTGGTACGCCCTGTTCAACATGTATAAGCGAGAAAGCGCAACACGCGACATCCGTCAGCATAGAAAATCATCGCCGCATACGTCGATACTATTTGCCACTCTGCGGATCTTGGTAGAGCGATGGCAGTTCAATAGTATGGACTATGTATCCAGTATTTCAGTAGAAGCGTCCGAGAAAACCAGCATTGTGATCTTTGCAAACTCTCTGAGCTAGATGTCTCATCTCACCGGTCATTAATACTGTGAACGGTAGAGAACAATCCGAGCTATTCCTCGACAAAGTGATTGGCCAACAAGGCTTGCTAAATTCCATTGTATTAGATAGATATGCGCGCTTTACAGATTTTGTCAGACAATTTAAAGTATTGAGCTTGAAATTGAATATATCAATTGCTATTCACCTGAACCGATAGTCATACTGAACAGATTAATCATTTTGTGTAGGATACATTTGAAGCCCCTTCACAAGGAGGCCACGGTGTTAAGGGTTTACACGCACCTGTATAAAGGGGTGGGTCACACAAGATGGTGCGACTATACAAGGGTGTAGGCTATACAAGACGGTGTGATCACACAATGGTGTGGCTACACATTAAATGAAGTCAGTGCGTGGCTGGACTGCCAGTAGTTATGCATTTTAATAAGGTTTACTATTTATGCAGGAAAACCTATAGATTTAGATTTAGACGGCTTTGCCGCAAATAAATTCAAGAAATACAGATTACATTTAGAACGGAAGAGTTGATCTGCCTTAGATTCAGGTTGTGGTTATTCTTGGAGTGGATTGCGATCCGCTACACTCGTACTAGTTCTAAGTGTAGAAGAAGGCCAGCTTCCTCTAAGCGAAAGAGCTACGGGATCCTCGCTGCACACGGCGCTGAAGCGAGTTGTTCGCATCCATCCACTTGTACCACTTGATCTTCATTACGGCTCCCTACAAGATGTGGATCGCAACGATTCTCTGAGTTCTGACCCTACACCTCAGCCATGACTAATAAACATACAAAAGTGCCGTTCACCGAGAAAGAGGCGTCGTGCTCCCAAAGTTTCCATAAAATCTATACATGTTGCTTCTGATTCTTAAGCTTTAAATATCCTCTCGTCATTTGGTAACGTCACTATTGTGATATGCATCGATTTATAGTCGGGACGATTTGGAAGGGAATATACCACCACATCATGGCAACCGTGCTCTGACCTTACCGAGAAGCTATATACTCGGCAACAAAGGTTTACAATCTTGGCACTATCAACTGGATGTGGTGATGGCAACGGGGTACGCGACGATGCCATCGATAGCCATACTAATTGCTTGAAGTCAAGCAGGTGTACCCTAAATTCAACAGGAGCAAAATTTATTGCATATGGCGCTTTGTTGCGAACTGGCGAGTCTCAAACGCGATCAAGTATTAATATCGATTGGCTTATGGTAATGCTGGAATGGACCAGGTCTCATTACACATATTGTGTTGTCCACATACTTCGTGTATCTCATAGTAACTGTACATATTGTATAGTTGTGTGTACCCTTTCAGTTATGTTGTATCAAAAATGGAAGGGCTACCAGATTAGGGAGGTTAAAATCTTATTGGCTATAAAAATACATGTCACTTCACCTCTACGTATGTCAACGGCCCGCGGGAAGGGAGCAACACACATGAGGCGTGTCAGTTGACCTAAGACTTTCTCACAAAAGTATGTGTACACGGACATGCAATCAGCGTTACACATGGTAGCCGTAGTAGTCATTCGGACGCCAGCTACTTCGGTAGTTTTGCTGATAGGTGGTGTGAATATCACAGACGGTGATCGACCTCGGATCGACAGGGAGGAATATTCGTTTCTGACACACTCGCAGTGATCAACGGGGTTACACATACCCTTGTATGTAAGGGCGGGTTGCAAAAGATGGTGTGACTGTATATAGATGTGGATTACACAAGTTGGTGTAATCACACAGTGATGAGGCTACACCGTAACAAGAAGCCACGATGTGGCAGGATTGCCAGTAGTAATGCATATTAATTAGGTTTTACTATGTTAATTAGGTATTACTATGTCAATTAGAAAACCTAAGATTTTAGATGTTGGCGGCTCTGCCGCAACTTAAACAATTGAAAGCAGTTTTAATTTTGAGCGGCAGAGTTCATTTACCCTGGCTAAGGTTATAAGTACTCTTGGAGGCAGTACCTCCGTGATGTCGATGACCTTAGCTTAGCTTCCTCTAAGCAAAGAGATGCGGCAGTTTCGACGCATTTTAGGAGTGACGGTGAAGCTGCGAGCTTTAATTGGAGATCACGCGGTCTCCATTATAGTTCAATTGGAGCAAAAAGCGATAACTGCACGCCTAGCAAATTTTGCTGTAAATGAGCAAGAAATATTAGGATTTCTATCGCAAAACATACCAACGCTTGTTCCGTCACCGCCCCCAGAAGTGGTGGTGACACCGTCGGTACACACAGAGCGTCCCTTGAAATCATGGTGAAAAGAAGATTGCACGGGGACGAAGATGAAACTCCTGCGTTTTGCCAGCTAAAACTGGATATCGCTATCACATCACGATGGTCCAAATTCGTGATGACCGTAGTCAAGTGGCCTTTGCCATGTCGCATTTGGGTGGCCGTGCGAAGATTAGGCGATTGGAAGTTAATTACCCTGGATACTTTGCTACGTTTAAAAGGCCATGTAATCGATATACCTTCCACCGAATGTGGCATTTCGAAAATGGTAGAAGTTTCTGTCATGCCGTCACGACAATGGCACAGTGAACAGAAACTCCGTGAGCTCCGTGCCATTATGACAAGTGAATCACTGTTAAGGCAGTGATGGCCACCGTGTCTATGGAGGGACTGGCTTATGGTCCTCCTAAGACTGATGTCTTCCGCCAGAGCCCGACGACTCTGGAAGATGCAATTATGATTGCATCGCGTGAGAAAACTGTCAGCGCCAAGTATGTAGTCAATCGGCCAACCCAATGTATGCAGTGATTGCTGCTACCGGAATTCCGGCACCAATGGACCTTAGCGCAGTGACAGCCCGAAGGCAGCAAGTTCGCTGTTTTGGATAATTCGGTCACATCCGCCGTAGTTGTCCACGAGGCGTTCGGAAAACGCCAAAACCCAGTGGATGCAGTGCGATCTACTGGGGCAATTATGAGCTCTCGTATGTGTGGTGGTAGAATTACTCATACGAAGGATCGTTGTCCCTCGCTAACGACGCGAGACGGAGTGATCTCCTCGTGGCCATAGCAAGTGTGGTCGTCCGTTCAGAGTCTTGATTGACACTGGCGCGTCGCGTAACTATGCGCGGAAGCAATGTGTTACTGAAAATGATTCAGCGCTTCTGGATGCATGAGATAGAAGCAATGGCTTTATCTCAGTGACATTGGTCACTGGTGCAATGGTCACCGCGAAGAAAGCACGGTTGGTCTGTTAGTGAAATTCGAGACTTTAACTCGAAGGAATTATTTACAGTTCTTGAGATGGACAAACGGTATGACCTGATTATATTTACAACGTGGCTTGATAAGCACGAGCCATGGATCGATTGGCGATCGAAAACGATTGGGAGTAGCTTTCCTGGCGTAGGTGAATCTATTGGAAGTAATAAGCCCACTTTGACTATGCACCAGGAGAAGTGCTCAAGCGCTAGGCAGTATGCTGCCGGAAATGATCCACACTTCATTGGATGCTATTGACGTTCCCAATTTAGAAACGATATGGGGTCGTATGGAGGGCCGCCCGCGGGTTGTCACTCAGGAAGTGTGTTGATGGTGCCCGGAGCTGGCCACTTAAAAGCTAATGAATCGTTGGTGGGTATGGTGGTTTGTCCAATG